TGCCTAGTTCTCTAACCTTGTTCTCCTACAGCAGCATTCCATGATCTAGCCATATGAGTAAAAGACTGCTAATTATAACCCAATATCTGTTTTCTCCCTCAGTATTTAAACCCTGATTTTTAGCTGAATGTGGGCATGGAATAGGATTTTCCCCAGCCTCCCTTGCAGCTATGTAACTGGATTTGGGCCAAGGGGATATGAGCCATGCCCTTAAGAGAGGAGGCATGCAGAGCCTTTTCCTTCCCTCTCCCTTTTCCTGCTCGTTGGAATGTGGGAAGTAACAGCTGAAGGAGTCACTTGGATTGAAAGTGCCCATGGAGGATGACAGCACAACAAGGTGAATAGAGCCAGGCCCCTGATATCTGTGAAATCTGCCATACCAACCCTGGACTGCCTACCTAGGCTTTTACATAGGAAGCTCCTTTATTGTTTAAACCACTGTTGCATTTTCTGTCCCTTGGAACAGTTTTGTCTCACCCTAATATATCATACCATTCTTCCAGTTCTCCATTTTCTGGACTTTGGACTCACGCTTGTCTCTGAAACACTGCTAACAACTTCTGCTCCTTGTCTGCTTTCATCCTTCAAATCTGAGCTGAAATGTTACTCTCACAGGTAAGTCTTCCTTGACTCCCTAGATGAGGTTAAGTACTCTTCCCGTTTTCTGTCTTCTTATACTTTCTCTTAGATGATAATCAGTAATTGGTGGGTTGCTGTCAGTCTCTTAAAATACCACATACTCTTTAAGAGGAAGTATCTGCTTTGTCCACTGTCAAGTGTTTGGCACTCAGTATATGCCAATAAATATTTGCTCAATGAACAAATGAATAATGTCATAGCCCTGGCATGATTTCTGGACCATACCTTGAGAACTTCTTGGCCTTACATTACATGACCCCTGTAAACTTCACCTCTAGCTCCATTCCTGTCAGACACTCCCACAATGTAAACACCGTTTCTCTACATTCTCTTTTGGATAGTTCTGAAAAGTGCCAACTCCTTCAACAGATCCACACAGTTTTCTTGCATTGCTTCATTTTCTCATAATATACCTAGGAGCAGAATGGAAGTATTATGGGTATTCCTGGAATTTAAAAAAGCATGGAACAGCAAACTTGAGAAGGAAGAACAAAGTTATAGGTGTCATGCTACCTGATGTCAAACTACATACACAAGGCTACAGTAATCAAAACAGCATGGTACTGGCACAAAAACAGACACATAGATCAATGGAACAGAGTAAAGAGCACAGAAATAAACCTACACCTATATGGTCAATTAACTTTTGACAAAGGAGGCAAGAGCTTACAATGGGATAAAGACAGTCTACTCAATAAATGGTATTGGGAAAATTGGGCAGATACATGCAAAAAATGAAACTAGACCACCTTCTTACACAATATACAAGAATAAACTCAAAATGGATTAAAGACTTAAATATAAGGCTCAAAACTTTAAAATAAAACTCCTAGATGAAAACATAGGGAATAAAATCTCTGACATTCCTCTTAGCAATTTTTCTAATGTATCTCCTTGGACAAGGGAAACAAAAGGAAAAAAATAAACAAACAGGGCTATATAAAATTAAGCAAAGGAAAGGAAACCACAGCAAAGGAAACCAACAACAAAATGAAAAGCCAACCTACTAAGTGGGAGAAGATACATCCATAGGGGTTAATATCCAAAAGTTATAGTGCTCATACAACTCAACACCAAAAAATAAATAATAATAAAGAATCCAATTAAAAAACAGGCAGAGGACCTGAATAGACACTTCTCCAAAGAGGACATACAGATGGCCAATAGATATATGAAAAGATGCTCAACGTTACTAATCAGAGAAATGTAAGTTAAAACCACAATGAAATATCACCTCACAGCTGTCAGAAGAGCTATTATAAATAAATCATCAAATAACAAGTGTTGGTGAGGGTGTGGAGAAAATGGAACCCTCATGCACTGTTGGTGGGAATGCAGACTGGTGCAGCCACTATAGAAAACAGTATGGAGTTTCCTCAAAAAATTAAAAATGGAACTGCCTTATGACTCAGCAATTGCACTTCTGGGTATACATCTGAAGAAACCCCAAACAGTAATTCTAAAGAATATATGCACTCCTACATTCATTGCAGCATTACTGATAATAGCCCAGATCTGGAAACAGCTCAAGTGCCCATCCACAGACTACGGATAAAAAAAGCTGTAGTCCATATATACAATGGAATATTACTTTGTCATAAAAAAGAGTGAAATCTTATCATTTGCGATACCATGGATGGACCTGAAGGGTATTAAGCTAAGTGAAATAAGTCAGACAAAGAAAGACAAATACCACATCATTTTACTTATATGTGAAATCTAAAGAACAAAATAAATGATCAAACGAAACTGAAACAGACTCATAGACGGAACAAGCTGATGGCTGTCAGCAGGGAGGGGGTTTGGGAGACTGTTGAAAAAGATGAAGGGGCCCTGGCTGGTGGTGCTCAGTGGACTGAGTGCCAGCCTGCGAACAAAAATGTCACCAGTTCTATTCCCAGTCAGGGCAATGGGTTGCAGGTAAGACGCCCAGCTGGGGGTGAGCAAGAGGTAACTGACTGATGTATCTCTCACACCTTGATGTTTCTCTCCCTCTCCTTCTCCCTCCCTTCTCCTCTAAAAGTAAATAAATAAAATGTTAAAAAAAAAAAAAAAGACAAAGGGATTAAGAAGTACAAATTGGTAGTAGCCTAGGGAATATAGTCAGTAAGATTGTAGTAACTACATATGGTGTCAGGTGAGTACCTGAAATGTCAGAGAGAACATTTGTAAAGTATATGACTGTCTAACCACTATGCTGTACACCTGAAACTAATACAAAATATTATTGAATATAAACTGTAATTGAAAAATTTTAAAAATGGAGGCCCTTCACTAATATGACCAACATTTTCAAGAGTTGAGACGCCTTACAGGTCTTTTTTAAAGGAAAATGTAAGAAACATATAAAGTACATTATCTGAATTATGGATATGTACAGGAAAACATTCTTAAAATATTTTACAACCCTCTGGTTTTAAAGTCTACAAGTAGTTTACTGTAATGCCATGAAAAAGTTTACTGCTTTCTGTATTAATCTTTCATTGACACTGAAGTGTCTTCATGGCTTACTTATTTTTAAAAATTAAGCACCTTTTTGTTGTAATACTGGAGAGTTAAATAAATAGGATCATAAGAAAGAGGCAGTGGAGATAAGACAAGCAAAAACTCAAGAGATCTGAGTTTTGCCAATGATTTACTGGGTGACCTTGGATTAGTTCTCTTTTAACTCTAAAATGAAGTGTTCAGGACAGATAATTCCTTAGATCCCTTTCAAGGAAAATATTTTGTTGCCATATCGACAGGCTGTTAATGATTTAATAGAGATGATGTTGGTAATTATGCCAAAAACTGTATAATACCAAGTATTCATAGGAAACCTGGTATTCGCCTCTAAGTTTTAGATTCTGTGGAGGTTTAAATTAGTCTAAAATGTGGTTCTTCAAAGATCTCAACACAAATGTATATTGGGAAATGCTAGTTTTCGCCTGAGGAGAGTGGCTTTTAGAATGTGTTTTTTCAGTAGATGTTATTCTCCTCCCACGTTTGTTAGGTGCTCACACTGGATTCAGTAGGTGCTCCGTAAAACGCCACTGGCCAATAAAGCAGAATGGTTTTCACTGCCGCTCCCTTGATCACTACATCTCCTTTCCCTTAAACTGTTCTGGAACCTGATAAGAAAGCTCCAGAGAGCAGTTGACCCGGCGTCTGGCAGCTGCACAATTTTCTGAACTACAACAAAATGCAAAGACATCTGGTCTTGTTCAGTTCTTCAGAGCAAGGACGGCCTAGTCTAGGCTTTCCACATTTCCAATAAAGGCTAAAGAAATTTGTAGCCGTCTCCAGTCATGAACAGGCTGGAAGCACCCCATATGAGTTCCGGCACCCCCGGCTTCCCTTCTCGCACCCTGCAGAATTCTCTAGGCCACTCCAAAGTCACCGCCCACCACTCGCGCCCTTGGGGGCGACCGCCCTGCCCCCGTCCCGCAATCGCCAACCAGCCCTAACCTCCTCGAACTGCTCGCCGGAGCAGCCGGCGCCGCGAGCCTCCAGCAGTTCCCGGAACTGCTCCAGGGTGACGGACTCTTCGCCGCGGCCCAGCCGCTCTTCCAGCCAGCGTAACAGCGCGCCGTGATGCCTGGACACCAGAGACTCGCAGGGCGGCGAGGGCCGCAGCGCGGCCGCCGCCTCTCGCAGCCGAGCCGGCTCCAGCAACGCCGGGGCCGGCGGCAGCGCCGGCGCGGCAGGGCCCGGGCCGGGGGTCAGGCGGGAGTCCGCGGCCCAGTCCTGGTGCGGACCCCAGCTCTCGCCCCCGGCGGCTGCCGCTTCGTCTTCACTGCTGTGACTCGGAGCGTTCCCCATGGGGTCTCCGTCTCGGGCGCCCCGGCTTTGCCACTGCCGCCGCCGCCGCCTCCCCGCCTCGACCTGTCAACCTCAGACAGTACCCGGCGGGCGGGGACGGGGAGGGTACGGCGGCGGCGGCTTCCGACTTCCTCGCCGTCAAGCGAGGACTGCTGTCGTTAAGGCGCCGTCAAGCGGACTCTATCCGCTGTCGTGAGATAGTGAGCTGAGGACAGCCTCTGCACAGGGTGGAACTCCGAGTTAGGAGAAGGGGCTGCTGTCATGTCATCTGCGTCCTCCCGCTGCCTCCTCCGCCACCATCTTTGTTCGGGGCGGACAACCTGCAAGCCAAGGAGGCATTTCGCTGCTCAGTTCTTGAGTATCCTTCCACGTTCACTAGCTGTACTGAAAAAGTACGAGAAAGAGTCGGAGCCCGGGAGTGAGCTTTACCCAGGCTTTTTCCTTCTAGTCTTTTCAGTGACAAGCGGACAAGGTAGAGCGTAGCGACAGCGACGTCGCTGCCAGCGTCTCAGCCATCTTAGTTGTGGGCGGAGAGGCGGCAACCTCGGCAGCGCGGAGGGCGTGCGGCAGTCTAAATGCTGCGGCTCGGTGGGCGCGGGCTCCTACTGGGCCTGGCCACAGCGGCGGCCGCGGTGGTGGCAGCGCGGCTGATGGGCTGGTGGAGCCCCCGCACTGGCTTTCGCCTTTTCATACCCGAGGAGCTGGCCCGCTACCGCGGCGGCCCTGGGGACCCAGGCCTCTACTTGGCATTGCTGGGCCGCGTCTACGATGTGTCCTCTGGACGGAGGCATTACGAGCCTGGGGCTCACTATAGCGGCTTCGCAGGTATTAGCGAGGCGGCTCACGCCCTTTCCTGCTCCGACGCGGGCGCGTAGCCGCCACCGCGGCGTTTTTCCATTTATTCATCTGCTTTTTTTTTTCTCACATTCATCAGAGCAGCATGGGGGCCGGGCGCAGCTGCATGATCCTTCTAGTCTCTGAGTCGGCGTGACTATAGCCAACAGTTACTGGCCTCTTTTCTCCCTGTCGTTTCCCATCAGTCTTCCCGATTTACCGTGGAGAAACGCGTGACCTGCCTCTTGTTAGTTACCCACTACCCAGCGGCTGAAGACCCCGGAGGGATACCTGCTTTGTGCCACACAGAGTGGCTCTCAGGGCACAGAGACGATTGAGCTCCAACCCATTATGCCCGGATCCAAATTTTCTCCCCACCGAATTTCCCCCTAAAGATAGTACTTTTGGTTTGAGTAGTTCTTGCTTCCAGTACAGCTGCACATATCTGCCTTTCTTTAAAAAGATTATGAGGTTAGAGCGCAAGGAAGGAGTCTGGCCACCTTTACAATCCTTCATTAGGTTAGGCCTCAAAGAGCACTTGTCAGATTAAGCTTATTCTGCTGACCCTGTTTTACAGCTGAGGGGATTAAAAGATGTAATTTGCCTAAAGCCCTCACAACTAATTACTAACAGGACTTGGGCTAAAACCACCATCTTATTACCTTTAGAGATGTTTTCTTACCAGTCCAGAGGAATGACCATCTCCCAGATTAAAAGAAAAAAATAGCAGAGTAAATTAAGGCCAGGGACTAGGTCGATATTAAATAAGCATTTCCCAGTTGTCATTCATTATCTTAGGGAAATTGGGAAGCCACCTCTGGTACTTAAATACAAGTCACTACCCTGCCTTTAGGGAGAACTTGGTAAATAGAAGCATAGACAGAAAGAAAGCGATTAAGTTTAGTTGGTGTTGTCAACTGAAAACAATTTACCAGAGAAGGGATTTACCTAGGGCTACACAGTGAGTTAGAAGTGGAGCTGGGACTGGAATGAAGGATTTTATTTTACCTGCCGGAAGAGGGCACTTTTTGGTGCACTATCCTGCCCTGTCCTGATGCAGCTGTCATGGTCAGATCCACAGTGTGAGCATAAAACCCTCCATTCCTGGGGTGACATTTCTTTTGCAATGGGCTCTACTGTCTACTGAGTTCCTTTGTGCCCGTTATTCATTCAACATCCACTTCATTCAATGTGGACATTTTGGATTTGTGATGTCTGAGAGACATGTAAATGATGCTAAGCAGACAATTGGATATAGAGGTCTGGAGCTCAAGAAAAGTCTTAGGAAGGATACACATTTGGCAGTTTTTGGTGTAGAAGTGGTATTTGAAACCCTGGGAGTGGATGAGATTGTGGCGTGGAGGGTGTGGCTGGGTTAGAGGAGGTGGACAATAAATGAACTCTGAGAATGGTGGAAAACGAGCTGGAGAGGTAGGAAAACCAAGAGTGTAGTGGCACAGAAGGCAAGCTAAATGGTCAGCTGTGTTAAATGTTGCTGAAAGTAAATGAAAGAATGTGATAAATGCCAAAATGTGTGTCCAAGATCCACAAGCATCCATGGCAGAGGAGGTGGGATTATATTTGCTTGGGGTGAAGAGTGGGGTTTTCAGCTGTTTCTCAGAAAATAGATTCTCGAGTTGGTACAGTGTCAGTGATTTATAAGTTGACCTACTGGCAACACCTCTCCTGCAGGCCGAGACGCATCCAGAGCGTTTGTGACTGGGGACTACTCTGCAGCAGGCCTTGTGGATGATGTATCTGACTTGTCATTTTCTGAGATGCTGACACTTCAAAATTGGCTGTCGTTCTATGAGAAGAATTATGAATTTGTTGGTAGGTATTCCACAAGTCATTTCCAAAGATTTCACTTAGTTTTCTTGCAAGTTTTTAAGGGGCTAAAATTCTTTGGGACTCTGGACTCAAGGTTAAAATCTGAAATATACCCAATGGATTTTTCACCTTAACCTCTGGCTGTTAGTGTGACAGTGAGTCCCAGAAGGAAGTGGCTGGGGCACCTGTTTCCCTCTCTCTCAAACTTGGGAGGGTTGCCTGCCCATTTGCTTTGACCCCTCCTGCCCCAAAGCTGGGGTCTGGCGGCCCCACCGTGCGCCAGCAGCTCCAGGAGGGCAGCTTCCTTGTCTCCAGTGTTCCAGGCCTCTGGCTTCAGCACAGAGGCAGGAAGGCTTGAAGCCTCAGTTTGTGTACAGTTTTGGCAAATATCCTTTTTATTTTGTCCTCTAAGGAGACAAACATTAGCTTGTGTCCATCCTGAATGAATTGTGTCCCAGGGGGAAGGTATGCTAAACAGCAGTTGTTAAAGCCAGTTGTGTAGAGCAGGGATCTCCAACCTCCAGGCCTGACCGCTGTCAGGCCTGGCCTGCTGGGGACCAGGCTGCACAGCAGGGGGTGAGCCTGAATGTAATGTGCTCGAATCATCCCCAAACCGTTCCCACTCCCCTTGCCCCTCCCCCCATCCATGGAAAAACTGTCTTCCATGAAACCAGTCCCTGTTGCCATAAAGCTTGGGGACTGCTGGTGTGGGGCACTGCACTTGCTACTTAATGGTGAGATATGCGGGGACTGACCTTTTAAATGGGAAGGCAACTAAGTGTCCCGAAGGAATGTCAGAAGAACTGGGATGGCTGGAGCCCTTCTTGCCCGCCTCCTGCAGGCCCCACTGGAGCCCCACTGGGACGCAGCCGGCCTCCTGGGGAACACCCGTGCCCTTTCCCCTTTGGAACGGGCCTGCACTGGAAGGGTTCTTTCCCTGCCCCTGATGTCTCTGAGTGACTGCTTCTGTCATTACTACGTGGGCCGCCTTTTCTGAGAGCCTTGCCATTTTCACTGTCGCCTCTGCTCTCTCCACGGCTACCTGGCCACGGCTGTTTTCATAACATCTCAAGTTCTGTTTTCATCCCCCACCTCCTCCCACCCACCGCCGTCGGCCTTTGTCAACCCAGCCTGTAGCGCCCCCTGCTTTGTCTTCCCCAAGTCTGCCCGGTTCATTCCCGAGACCACAATCAGGTCTGCCATTGAAGGGACCGCCCTCTACCCATCTGCCTTTCAGAAGGTTTGGTTCTCCCTTTTCCCCATGAGGTTGGCAAACCAAGGCTGAAGCATTACTGGGTTAATAAGGAAAAGAAACCCCAACACAAAAGAGGAAGAATGGAGTCCTTTGAGTGGGCAAAGCTGCCAGACCAAACACGCCATACTGGTGTTTGGGGAACAAACTGATGTGTTTGATGAGATAAGTGAACTAGTCTTGAACTGTTGTTTGAACAATGTAATGAGTGTGGGGGAAGGAAGGATCACATTGTTGGAAATGCTTCAGAAGGATTTTAGTTAAAGTAGGGATATACCTGAATATCTACTATGGATAAGCTATGGTTCTGGTCCTTGGAGGGACCAGGGAGGAGCTGAGTGCAGTTCCTGCCCTCTCTTGGCTCACTCTATAGGAGGGGGGCTGTGTCGGGCGCTTTCATGGCACCAGGAACCCCCAGGACACGTCAGAGGATGAAGGTGTGTTTTCTTGGTGCACAGTGCAGACCACCAAAAATCCATCCAGGCAGCCACATGGCCAGGCCTCAAGGGAAAGTGAGGAGATGTCTTTTGTTGTTTTCCGGGTGTAGCATTGGCTTGGAGACCCAGCCAGTGGTGACCGCCCTTCTCATGACACAGGCGCTACAACTCGGTGGCCTCTACTACTGCTGCCCTCTCTTTGGGTCTCATGTCTGAAAGCCACCGCAACAGCCTCGTCGCCATGCATACAGAGACCCTCTGTAAGAGAAATTCTTGTGCCAGGCCAACCTAGACTGCGGGCCTTGATCCCTTCCTTTATTACAACCATTTAAAACGTGAATGCTTTACACTGAGCTTTTTTGAGTGCTTGGGCCTCATGGTAGGGAAAGATGAAAATAAGTAAACAGATCAGACAAAATCAAATAGGGCTGTGAATAAAATAAAACTAATAGAGTGCATGTTTTAGGGGGATGGCGCCTTTAGAGAAGTTGGTCAGAGCAGTAGGTCCCTTGGAGGAGGTGACGGTTAAGCTGAGACCTGGAAGGTGAGCAGGAGCCAGCCATCCTGAGATCTAGAGAAGAGTATTTCAGCTGAGGGGACAGTAGTACCTGAGGTGGGGAGCGCGGAGGTGACATGATTTTCTTGTTTTCAAATGATACCCAGCTGCTTTGTGGAGAAAGAACTGTGGGAAGGGATGAGCCGAAGGCAACACCCGTTGGGAGGCCGTTGTAATCCACAGTTTGGATTAGGGTAGTAGCAGTAGAAAGGGAAAAGGATCGGTGTTTTTTAAAGGTTGGACTCACAAGGCTTGCTAATGGATTAGACACAAATAAATGGAAGCATACATTTGGATGTGGCGGAGGAGGAGGCATCAGAGAGATCCAAGGCTCCTAATCCAAATAACGAAAGCCAGAAGTGACATAAATACAAATGGAAAAGTCTGGAGAGGGAGATGACCTTCAGAGGACAAAGTGGATCTTGGGTGCATTGAATGTCAGTGCTGCTGGAATCTAAGTGAGTTCTCGGGGATTGAAAAGGTTGGACAGGCGCAGCTGGGGCAGGTATACACTGCCAGCTCCTCCTACCTTGTCAGAGCTTCTAGAAGTGCTTCTGCTGCTTCTCCTGCCCTGTGACAGGTGCTGTATGTGAAGGCCACTTACCCTCAGAACTTAGAGACAGAAGTTGCTGCACTTAAGGAGAACTGAGCCCTTCCTGGCTTTGGCCTGAAGGCTCTCTGACCGCTTGCTGGCTGTTGCCACAGCTTAGTCCTTTACAAATTCCAGCAGGGATTTTATCTCAATCCAGTTTCCACTTAATGCCTCCACTGAAAGGCTGAGCAAGAAGAGAATGGTGGAGGGGAGAACATGCGCTGGGGGCCAGGCCCACTTAGTAGGTCCATGGACTCCTCCCTTTCTCCCTCCCGTGAACGTGGGAACAATGACCACTGTCTCACAGGGTTGTTTTGAGGATTAACAAGATATTCGTGAAGTTCTAGCATAGCACCTGACACTGAGTAAATGCTCAATAAGTGATTTATTTATAGTTAGCAAAGACAAAATAATTTAGTGTTGGGAAGAATTGAGCCACAAAAATGTTAAACAGTAAGCTGTTATTTGTCAAACATCTATGGGGGCACCGTGTGCCTCCAGCACTGTGGAGCGCTGAAAAATGAATCGCACACGGCTCCACTCTCAGGGAACGGATGTCTGGAAGTGAGAGTTTATAATTTCCTCACCAGAAGACTGCAACTACAAAAGGGATGCTTCTGTGTGCAGTCTTGTCAGATGTTGAGAGATACCGGGACAGAAGGTGCCTCAGTCTCTCCAATGTGAGTTCTGAGAAGCACGCACCCAGCAGGCTACTTAGAGCCCTGAAAGCAGAAACCCTGGAACTTGAGCTTTACCACAACCGCTTGAGAAGCTAAGCCTCTCCTTGGTGCCTCCCTCCCACTGTTGCTGACAGTCAGCTTTCCTGTCACCACAGGAAGGGTGATAGGAAGGTTCTACAGAGAGGATGGGCTGCCCACCCCGGAACTGACCCGGGTAGAAGCCATGATCACCGAAGGCTTGGAAGCAAACAAGCAGGGACTGAAAGAGAAGCAGAAGTTTCCACCCTGCAACGCGGAGTGGAGCTCAGCAAGGGGCAGCCCTCTCTGGTGTTCCCAGAACAGGTAAGTGGGCCTCCTGCCGCTGCTCTCCACCTCGCCACCCAACTGCTAGGTCACCCTGTTCTCAGGGGAGCCCTAAGTTGATTGTTAACACAGGGGAGCTTTTTCAAACATGTGCTTTGGGGCAGTGATTCTCAACTTTGGCTACGTGTTAGAATCGTGTGGGCAATTTAAAAATATCACTGATAGTGGGACCTCACTCCAGGCAACTGCATGAGAATATTAGGGGTGAGATCTGGGTGCCTTTTTTTTCCCTTCCCCAAAGACCCTCCTGAAGAAGCCCTGGCTGGGGAAGGTGAAGGCACAAGTACTGTTTTCTTGCTTGCTGTGGGGGGTCCATTCAGGTTCATTCACTCGAGGGCCTCAGTTTCCTGTGTGTCAGTGCAGATCATCCCTGCATGTTGGAGGCACGGAGGTGGCCATGGCCACTTGTGGTGATGCCCTGAGGTGCCGTCTTAAAAACCCTGCAAATTCTGAGTAATTGCGGGAAGTACAGGCTAGTTGGAGAAGCCCTCCCCTGTAAGAAGGAATTGAGGTGAGCCAGATTAGAATAGATGCCACAGCAATCATTCCAGGTTCGTTTGGGGAAGCTGGAGAAAAAACGTTCTGCTTTAGTCATCAGGCCAGCCTGGGTTCAAATACAGTTCAGATCCCTCCGATCTCCTTTAGCTCTGGCAGGGTAAGCAGGAAGGTAGAAACTGGACAGACCCCTCAGCCTCAAGGGCCTCAATTGATGCTCCCATGTGGTGCATCAATTCCAAGAATTCCCTTTTCCTTTTGCAAGGCTTTTGAGTCCATGGGAGACTGAACTCAGGTCCCTGCGCCCAGGACAGGAAGTCACTCAGGCTGTTGTTGGACCAGGTGATGTCAGGAACTGCACCTGTGCGCGGGGCAGGAAAGGCCCTCTCACAGAAGCCTGGCCGTCAGGCCTTGTGTTGTGCCTGAATTGTCCGCCCCTGCCCCGCTGCCGAAGACCCTGAGACCAAGACAGAGCCCAGTGCTAGGACGGAGCGGGGAAGGGAGGAGAGAGTCGGAGCCCTACGCTGCTTTCGAGAAGCTCACAGGCCAGTGGGGGAAAGCGTTTTGCTGGTGTTACCACCGTGCAGAGCGCACTGCCTCCCAGGCAGGCACAGGGCAGGGGCCGGGAGCAGGGGAGGCGGGAGGAAGTTAGGAGACAGCACTGAGGTTCAGGGGCTGAGCACAGCAGACTGCCACCTCTGGAAGACATCAAGATGGCAAGTGGAATGACCTCTACTTTCCACCAGGCTCTGCTCCCTGCTTCCTCCTCTCCCCTTCCCAGACCGACTCACAAGTTCATGCTTCTAAGAAGTCCCCCCCGTCCCGCCCTTTTCTTTCATCTTCAGTGGAGGTGTGAGCAGAGACTGGAGTGGCGTCCCCAGGAAGCTGTATAAGCCAGGTGCCAAGGAGCCCCACTGTGTGTGTGTGAGAACAACTGGCCCCCCTAGTGACCAGGCGCCAGACAGTCCTGCACACAGGAATCGTGGGGACTTGGATCACCCCAACTTGGAGGAATACACAGGCTGCCCACCTCTGTCCATGACATGCTCCTTCCCACTCTAAGCTGGTGCCCTTGACTCGTGGGCCCTAGGATGGCTGCTGACATCAAACAAGAGGGTCTGGAGGGACTCTGGCCTCTGCAGATGTGACCCATGACTCCTCACCATGGGCTTGCCCTTCTGGTGAGCAAGGCGAGTTTGGCAGCCTGCCTAGTGCTGGTCAGCCCGTTTTTGCCCCTGTTCCCCTAGACCTACTTGCCATCCTCCTTCAGAGCCCTCAGATATGAATGGGCACAGGTGTGACCAACCCTAAACTAACTGGACAGACAAGCAAAGGGTTCTGAGCTCCAGGAGCGTCCTTCCCACGGACTCCCTGGCTGCCCACATCAGCCACTGGCCCCGTGAGTGGCACTGGCAAAAGGGACCGCATCATCCCCCTACAGCTCAGAAGCAAGACGATACAGCCAGAAGACGAGGGAAACAAAGAAAGAAAAACAGCAACAACATAACTGTCTTCCAGGTTGCTCACTGGCTATACTTGTTACCCCTGACTTTTATAACCTTTCTTATATGTGAGACTCTTCCCTTAGGCAAACTTGAATTATAACCAAAAGCTGCATTGAGTTGATGTGAGCTGGGCCAGTACAGTGAGAGGTGACAATGAAAGAGAATGGACTGTTTCTGGGAATTGGAAGTTTTTGCTGATACGGATGCAGCAAATCCAGATGCCTCTTCAATTTAAAGCAAGGAGATTGTTTCTTTTTTAAACACTTAAAATGAGGTGTGGTGTGTTTTCAAAGGGAAAATTTTGCATTTTTGGCAAAAGGTCATTTTAGAGCTCTTACAACGTAACTGGTCCGTGCACCAGCAGGGTTGGGGGCAAGGCTGCAGACGCCGATGCGGACAGCCTCCACTTCGCTGGCCGGGCTGCAGCTTCTCCAGCGGGTGGTGTCCAAGGGCACCTGCCGTCTCATAGCCACTGCCTTGTAGATTCTTAACTGGTTAAGCAGACGGGGCAGGGAGCGTTTCTGCTTCACAGATGAGGAAACGAAGCCAGGGCTTGACAGGCTCCTGGTCTCTCCTCATCTGCGCCTCACCTCAACTTCTTTCCCAGTCCCTCAACCCTTATTTTATACAGTTTCTATTCTTTCCCCCCCACCCCCCGCCTTTATCATTAATCTCAGTAAATAACTTTCCACGTCCCCCGAGCAGAAAATGGAGGCCACCTCCCCTCCATGGCCGTCTCATGGGTCACCGCCCTCGTAGCCACAGCTGCCCCTGGTACCGGACTCGGCCCTCGGCCCCTTGGGCCACCCCAGATCCTCCTCACCTGCCCTTCCTGTACCTTTAGCCTCTCCCTGGCCCCTGGCTCACCCCCCCCCCTTCATAAATAAAACACTCCCTCAGTAACACCACATTCTTCTGTGGCACCTATCTATCCCTGTCACAGATGAGCTTTTTGAAAAAGTGGGATGTACTCCCTACCCTTGCTCCCCAGCCCCCCTCGCCTGGCTCCTGCCTTGCCCTGCTCAGCAGCACACATTCTGCATTGGTGAACCCCGGGGCCATATTTCCTTGAAAGCCTTCTCCACAAACCCCCCTGCCACTGGACTTCTCAGTCCTACCTCAGCTACGATGTGTCCAGGGGAGGCGCTCCATAGGCACCTCAGCTCCACAGTTCTGGCACTCGGTCTCTGTCTTCTCCCTCAGGATTCTGAGGCCCCCCTAATGATGGCTCCACGTGCGCCATCTGCCACACCAGCATCCTGGTGACAGACCACCCCTCCTTGCTCTCCTGCTCCCTCCTCCCGCCCCACCTGCAAGTCCCGGCCCCTGCCGCCTCAGCTCTCCCGAACCAACCGCACTCCCTGCCCCCAGTCCACCCTCCGTGCTGTGAGCCATCCTTCTGGATGACCAGGGCAGTTCCTCACCTAAGCCCTTTCTGTGGCTCCCCGTAGCTGTAAGGATCAAGTGCTGACTCCCCAGCAGCGTGGCACACAAGGCTCATGGGCGGTCTGTCCCCTCTTGGCCTCTCTCCCTCCCCCCGCCTGCACCTCACTGCGTTATGCCTCCGTCCAGGCTGTCCCTCCTACCTGCCATGATAGCTCTTCCTCTGCCCAATTTGTCCACCTCTTACCTCTTGAAAACTCGGCCCCATCCACACCACTTGGGAGCCTTCATTAACCACTGGCCCACCAGTTGGATTTATTTTTTAAAGATTTTATTTTTAGAGAGAGGGAAAGGGAGGAAGAAAGAAACATCGATGTGAGAGAAACATCAATTGGTTGCCTCCCGTACGCGTCCTGACCAGGAACCTAACCTGCAACCCAGGCATGTGCTCTGACTAGGAATCAAATGGCAACCTTTCGCTTTGCAGGGTGACACCCAACCAACCCAGCCCTACTGGTCAGGGCCCACCAGTTGGATTTGGATGCACCCTCCCCTAGGTTCCCATAACAGTGTCCATGTGTTCACTCCTCAAATAACATCAGTGTTCTGTAACCCAGGGCTTCCTATCAGCTCTCACACTGGACTGCAGACTGAGAACAGAGGTCAAGGGCGTCTCGGTTTTGCACCGCTCTAGCCGCAAGTACCTAGAGTGCACAGTACGTGTGCAGTTAGCTCTTGTTCTGGAGATGAGGCAGCCAATCTCCAAGAACACAGTAAGGGCCCACAGCAGTGGAGCTGAGCCTGGAACTCAAGGTTCCTGTCCTGATTCACTGCCATTTTCACTCCTCCATAGCTCGGTATGTCTCTGCCCTCCCTAGAGTAGGGGTAAACAGAAAGGAGGGCTCAGATGAGGGCCTTGTTCTTCGTTCCACACAGCCCTTGAGCTGTCATTGCCTGAGGCGACCCCGGTCATTGGAAGCAGCAGCGCCCAACTCCAGGCTAAGTGGGAGCTAGTCACTGCCACTGCTCTCGTCCTTAGTCACTCAACAAATATTTACCAAGCCCCTATGTGCCGTGGGGTGAGGGATGGCAGGAAGGTGAGGCCCCTGACCTCAAGGAGCTCACAGTGTGGTAGAAACAGGGAGAGTGTGGGGGCCAGGTCCAGAGATGGTTGAGCCCTTCCAAAAGCCACCTGCAAAAGGAGCAAGAACAAGGCACCCTTCGAGTCCTCCCAGTCAATTGTGGACTTGGGAGGCACCAGAAGTTGCCTCACCTCTGCCAGATGCAGGCCCCTGAACCACCCTGTGGGGCACTCAGCCAGCCTCAGCAGGCTGCTCGCCTCCTCGCTCAGTGAGAATTTTTGATACCAACCTCTCACATTACAGTAAAGAGCAGTGGGGGAATTGTCAAGGGACGCAGCAAGAGCAGGTTGTCATTTCGGCGGCAAGGAGGGCTCAGCCGTGCGGAGTGGCTGCTGGAGAAATGCCTCTCCTCTCCCCAGTAGAGGCAGCCCTCTGATGAACGCCACAGTCCAGCTCAGGCAATGAAGACTTGCTGGCAGAGGGAAACGGAGAGAATACATGTTGGGCACCTGTGCTGGGTAGGGGGCTTTAACATCCATGCCGTCTGGGAGAGGGTCTCATTTTATGGCCCAGAAGAGGGGCAGAGCTCCCCCACCACCCCCGACCTTTGAGTGGTTACAGCAGCCATCGCAGGGCAGAGCTGTTTCTTACCCAAGCCTGCCCCCTCTGCCTCAGCACCGAGCAGTTAGAGCAAAGGTGGGGCAGCTGCCCTCCAACGTGGAGGAAACTGACATCTGCCCTTGAATTCTGAGACCCCAGTTTTCTATAAGCACAAAATTCAGAGTGAAGAGCCCGGGGTTTTGGGGTCACAGCTCAGCCACGGCATGACGGCACAGCGAAGGGAGCAGTATCCGTCTGTCGCCCCTAGCCCTTGCTTGCTTAGCTCTGGGACAAGGAATGATCGGACAGGCCCCCCTGGACAGGCGGGGACCCATCTCTTCAGAAATCTGCAGTGCCCCTCAGAGGATTATTCTGGGCTGATCCCCCACCCTCCAGAGCACTTCCTTCTGCCAGAGTCCAGTCCCTAAGTTCCTGCAAGTAGGCAGCAGACATCGCTCCCATCAGCCCTCACTGGAGGGGGCTCTCGGTGTGCACACTGGATTCTGTGTGCTCGCAGGAGAGGAAGGACATGTTACTGATCACCTTCCTCAAGGCCACCCTGTGAGCCGAAAAGGACAATGGACATTTCCACTGTACAGACCCACAGACTAAAACAGAATCAATGACAAAGCAGAACGAAGACCCAGTGCTCTTCCTTGGCTGGGCAAAGTGTGTGAAAGTTGAAATGTGTGAAAACAGGCTGGTTCCTGTTTGTATTCCCATATTATGACATAACATGACCAGTGTCCACCTCAAGGACGGCTATTAGGATTACTTGGGAGCACCTAACGGTTCCTGTTCACTATGAGGAAGGCCAGCAGAGAATGAGACGTATCACCACAGTTGAACTAGGGGTAAGCAAAAGTGGGAGGTTGAGAAAGGGAAGACATTATTAGTTCAAAAAAATGTGAGGGCCAGGTGAGCGAGGTTTGTACAATTCGCATAGGGGCTTTATGGGTTTTAATTTGCAAACCCCTTAATTTACTGCTCTATGAAACCCACAGTGCCAGTCCTCCCTTCAGATCGAGACCAGCAAAAGCCTCGCCCTGCCTGGTTCCTCTTGAGCTGTTCCTCAGTAATGGCGTTTTGAAGCGGGAATTTGCGGGGTCCCTTGGCGAGCATCAGTGGGGTCCGCACTGCCACGGCTGAGGCCTGGGCTGAGGGGACAGTAAATCCAGGCAGCTGGCTATGTGGCCTAAAACTGCTACTTTTTGATGGCCGTCAACAATGTTTCTGAAAAGTGCTAGAAATTCCAACTTTCCTGGTGGGTAGCTGGTAAAGAAGTTAATCACATGTCAGGAGTTTTAAAATTTGTTTGTTTTTAATGCTTATTGGTACTTCTGCATGAAAAGTTAACTACAAATGTCTCATTAAAGTTCTCACTTTGAATGCACAATTTTACCTCATTTTATTATAAGGAATTGTTAAAGAAAATGCAAATATGAATATTTGAAAAATACATTCCATTACACGGACTCCAGAGAAACAATGCTGATAAGCGCCATGGTCCTATACGATGCCACTGTCCCACTGAGCACCACCCCACGTGGCTTGAAAGCCAAGGTGATCAACCCAAATGTGTTCCTGCACTTTCCGCCCAGTCACTGACTGCCCTTTGTCTTGGAAACTGCCAACTCTATTCATCTGCCAAAAAGAACAAGTCATGAAGTCAAGCAGTCTGCCAACTTGAGACTTCCTAGCTACAGAAGACCAATGTTGTCAGTTATAACATGTTAATATATTATTTACGCCATACAGAAAGGAACCGTACAGGCAATGATCTAAAAAGTCTTTAAGGCATTTATGATAACGTCTGGGAATTTAATAGGTGTTTAGTTAATATCTTGTCAAACCATCAGCTCTTCAGTGAATTATTTCTTCACAAAATGAGAAGGTGGCCTCTAAACCTCTTTAGAAAGTTGTTTCCCCTCTGCTTCGTCCTCTGCCCAGCAGGGCGTGGCGAGCGTTGGCGCTGCAGGTTAGGAGGGGCTGGGCTTGCAGTGCCCAGCTCTTCTGGGGCTTGTCCTGAGGGAAGCAGTCCCCGGTCCTGGAAGGAAGCTTCTTTCAGGAGCTCCTTCTCAGCCTCAACCTGTGAATCCAAGGGGGGTCTGTTGGTGGAAGCGTACGTCTCCTTGCTCAGGCTGTCGCCCGGGGAGTTGCTCTGCCTTTCACGTCTAAGCATCACATAGTTCGACAGTTCTTTTTCCTCAGATTAAAGAACCCGGGACGGAGATCAAGGCTGTCCCCCTGCCAAGACTTCCCATCCACGCCTACAGACAAGATCAGCGCACTACCGTTCAACACAGCAGGCAGGGGGCATGAAGTGGGAGCAGTGCCGGTCCCATAAACACGCTGAGCTCCACGCAGGGACCCCATTCAGGGAGAAGAGTGAGGAAGCTGAACAGGGCGGACAGAAATGACTCAGGGCTCTGAGGTAGAGGACTATCAGTCACAGGGACCCCGCTCTTGGAGAGAATGTGGCAGGCAAACGGAGCAATCTAATCCGGCCTCAACTAAATTGGTAACTGGGGTTGACAGTGCACAGGCAACCAACTCCAAATGGAACACATGTTCTGACACATCAGTGAGACACCACTACACAGGTAACTGAAAAGTTAAAAAGTCCTACGTGGAGGCACTTAAGTTTGTGGGAAATTTCTGTGTTAGAGGATCATAGCAATTTAGCCATTGGATTTATGTATAGCACTCGGTTTGTACCTTTGTCTTAAAAAAAACAACACAAAACTGTTAGGAACACACATGAGGCATTTAAAAAGCTAATTCAGCTTAACAATGTTGATTGATGCAGAAAATTATATTTCAGTCAAGTTTATTCTTCTTGTTCTATTCACAATTGGCAACTTTCTGAATGAATAAAATTGAGTTTTCGCTACTAGTATTTAAGCTATGAATTAAAATTTAACAAGAACAGCTAGAGAGTTCTGTAGTCAAGTCTTGTCATCTTGGAGAGCACAACGGGGACTGAGAGTGTGTGAAGTCCCAGTTGGGGCAGTGCACGGGGGGCCGGCGGCAGTCCCACTCAGGGAACCTGGGGGGCGAGGCCCGGGAGCGTCAGCAGGGTCAGGGACGCTTCCTAAGGCTGTGCGAAGGTGCTCGCTCTGGGCCTACAAGCGCGCCAACCGAGAGCTCACAAAATGCTCCCCTGCTCCACGGCCGCTCGGTACCACAGCTATCCCAGCTCTGTGAAGAACTAGAAGCATGACTCCACATAGTTAAAACATGATTTTAAGTGCAATTAGAGGCAAGACTGCTGCTGAGATTGGTACGGAGGGCAGGGGCAGGACAATCGGCCTCATCCCTGATTGAATTCCTAGTCTCTCTCCACCACGAACGTTAAAAGAACAAGTATAAATGTACCAACCACCTCACTTGGTATCTGAAGCACAGCCATCTTACTTCACAACTGAAAAATCAAGCCACCTAAGCCCCGCTTCCGTGTGGCCCTCTTCAGGCAACAGAAAATGGAAACTGACCACATGCCTCACATGGTCAAGTGTTTGCCAAGACTAGTTGTTTTTCTATAAAAATTCTGTAAGAAATGTCACAGACTTTTAGTTCCCCAACTCTTCTAATTTTTCTTTTAAACATTGTGCACAAGCTCGTATTAACATAGAAAGCATATATATCTTATAAATCACAGAAATATTAAAAAAAATTAGCACTCAGGTTTATCAGCTCATTTTACACACATATTTGGGCAATAGAATGTATAAATGTACAGCAATATAGAGGACATACCACTTTCCAAAAACAAACAAAAAAGCAGGCTGTTGCAAAAAAATATTTAGTCCCTTTTACACATATATCCATACTTCATTAATACAAAAAACAAAACAAAACATGTAGTGGTTATTAAATGTCTTAAAAATCAGTATGTATGATTGAGACTGTTAATCTCTGAGTATAACTATAACATACATTGTTCATCTCAGAATTATTTGTTTGTTTTTGAAAGCAGTGGTAAAAGTTTCTTTTTAAATGTGAAGTTTAACACCTCAGGGTTATTAACACATGTACTAGCAGCACGACAGCCGAGAAGCCCCAGGGGCGTCCTTCAGCACCCACGCCAGAGCCCTCCCGAACCAGGTCCCACACGTTTGGCCAGGGCCTTCAGCTGTTGGCTCTTAGGGGGCAGGGCAAGCTACACAGAACTGGGACCTGGCACACACAGCGCTCACAGCATGGCTAGGGAAGGGGTCAGCAACAAGCATTCATGTCAAGGAGGTGGGCCTTCCCAGCCTGAGGCTGGAGATCCCCCTTCTCATCCCTTGGCCTGTGTGACTCTCTTGCTCCAAGTGACACTCTGCAGGGGTTTCTCATCCTTTAAGACTTAGTGTGAGCTGAGTTCCAGGCAAAGCTGATCATTAGAATCACTAATGCATGGATGTATTTTTTGATCATGGATTTTTAAATTGGAATCACCAATAATGAAGTTATATAAAAAAGTGCAGCACAATAAAAGTGCATTTCCTCCACCACTCCCAGGTGGCAGAGTGACTGAGGCTCCACAGACAGGACACAGCAAGATGAGAGGAGGAGACAACTGCTAGGCGGTGTCAAGCTGCCCAACTGCACTAATGACACCCGAGTAGCATGAATACTAGTAAAGCTTTCAGTTGTTAAGGCCACAATTTTTCAGCTCTCATCTTTGAACCCTGTTTAGAAAGATTTCACCTTTTTTTAAAGGGGTAGCTCACTATAAATACAGCTTAGCTTTTCCAAAAAAAAAAAAAAAAAAAAATTTCAGGGCAAGAGGATCCTATAATTTTTATGAAAACACTGTGCAGAAAAGTCCAAAGCCAATAACCCCAGGGTAAAGCCGGCTCTCACGGAGCAGCCAGAACTGCTTCCTCTGGCCACATCTGCCTAGGAAGTCCGCCCGGGCGGGAAGGCTTCACGAACGCTCTGAGATGGACACTAGGCTACCGGGAGGGAAAAGGGTTTTCGAAGTGTTCTTGTATGTTGCTAGCAGAATGGGGTCTAAGTCCTATCACATTTACCACTTAGGCTAATGGCCTGGTCCAATTAGTGAGACATCTATTGAGCTCAATCACAGTCTGACAAACTGACAGTCATACAGAGTCATCGGAACGGAATCTATCACGCCATGGTCCTGAACTGTCTGCTCCACTCCGCTGCCGAAGGAAGCCGCCTGCCAGCTCCGGCTCTGGGTGGGGTCAGGCTGGTGAGCAGAGCAGCTGCTGGGGAGGTGACTGGGAGGTGGCCTGGACTCTCCTAGGGGCTCACTAAGAGACCCCGCCCAAAGTTAGTACATCAAAGCAAATGTTGCAGACTCGCACGGGCTTGTTCAGATCGAACTTTATAATGGGAATCTCCTTGGTCGAACATTTATGGCAAAGAAGACGTCCGCAGTGACGGCTGTGGAAGCAAAGAAATGAACCGTGAGAGGGGTCCTGAAGAGGAGACTGCTCCCCAGCACCGGGACAGCCACACTGCCAGCCAAATGACCCCAATGTATGTATTACTTTTCGTCCATGAAAACAAAACTCTAGCCAGTTATTAAGTTAAAGTGATTCTGGAGAAGGAGCTTTCTTTAAAGATCAAGAGAGACTTAGCAATAGCCAGAGAACCGTCTTGTGCTCTTGGGAACAGCTCCTCAGTCTTTTTTTTTTTTTTAATACTCACCCAAGGAAATGTCCACTGATTTTAGAGAGAGGCGAAGGGAGGGAGGAGAAAGGACGACGTGAGAAACATCAACTGCCTCTCACAGGTGCCCCAACTGGGACCAAACCCGACCGGGGACTGAACCTGCACCCCAGACAGGTACCCTGACCATGAATCAAACCCACAACCTTTCACTTTAGGGCAGGACGTCCACACAGGCCAGGGCAGCTCCTCAGGCCTTGGCGGAGCAGCCTGTGCTCCATCTAGGAGACACAAGTTCTAGGGCGGCACTAACTCAGCTCAGCTCCGCAGCAGGCAGAAAGCCTGGGAGAGATGACATGGGCCTGACAGGCCACCTGGGACCTGTGAACGCCAGCATTCAGCAGGAAGGCCACCAGTCAGTGTGTCCCCTGCCCTCCCGATATCGCCACAGGTGTGTACAGCCCTATCATTTCATCACTCCCTGTGGTCCAGTTTTGCCCAGGAGAGTGCGGGGCCCTGGCAGGTTAATGGCTTATCATGGAAAAAAGGAGAAGCAGTGACATCATCAGAAGTGCCCTTGCTCCTCTGGCAAGTGATGCTGGGGGTTCTCACCAGTGATGCTTGCGAGTTGTGACTCCAAACTTGGCAGTGCACTCGTAGCAGTTGGAGCCGTCACACCACGGAGGCTCCTTGGACAGCATGTCTGTAACACAGCGGGAGAAGACTAGCTCCTGTCAGACAGTGGCTGTGCCAGGCTCGACTCA